AAAAAAAAACCAGAGACCTTGCTCTCAAGAAATTAAAGATGAATATACTTGTATTTTGGTACCTTTTCATTTTTATTATAAATATTTGTGTACATACCTGTATTACCCCTCTTCTGCCATATTTCTATCCACACAACACACACACTCTAAAATAGTCTTGTTATATAGCTTTATCTTTTCATTTTTATTTGATGTCTTTTTTATTCCCAGATGCTAGCAAAATATCACTCTCTTTCACATACATTCACAGATTACAAATATGGAAGGTGTCTTAGAGGTCATGATATATTTTATCATGCATCACCCAGTACACAGTACACTATGCAGAAAATGCGAGGCAATAGCTAGCTATAAACTTTGAAATATTGTCATTCAAAATATAATTTGAGGAGTTTCTTTTATTTAATAATAGTTTAATGTAAGTAACACTTCACTATATTGAAAACAAGGTTTAACGAGTCTCTATCCCCAAGATAGAGCTTAGGCAAAGAATTGTTGGGTTAGCAAATTCTTGGTTACTCTTTACTTTAATCATGTGTATAATTCTGCCTCCTTACTTCTCACTCCTGGTTTATAGCCTCATTGTGGACTTAATGTATTTGAGGGGCGGGTCAGAGGAGAGCATATTAAATTTCAGTGAACGCTGTAAAAAAGTAACCATAGAGACCGGCATATGAATTCAACTGTTGCGAAAGCAGGATAGTAAAAAAAAAAATGTAGTTTTTGTGTAAGTTACACTCTGTAATATGACCAGAGCATTACATCAGAGATGAGGAGAAAATCAAAAGTTACCTGAGGCTTTCTGCCAAAGGAAATTAATGATTTTTCTTTCCCCAGGTGGTAGAGTATTTAAGATATTTGTAAATTAACATTCTTGCATTTGACTCAGAGTACTAGTATGTTAGGCACGTGAATATTCAAAATACATCTGCTCACTTGCATCAATTTGATCTAGACAATATAAAATGATGCCCAGTTCCACTGAAGCCTGTTACAGAAATATAAAAAGCATAAGAAACATAAAGAATATTAACTTGTGTTCTTAAACACCAGGACTCCACTTCCAGTTATTGCTTCTTAGAAACAGTATGGTAAATTTTCTTTGCAACACCTTTTGCAGGTTCCCCTGTCACCTAGGCTGGAGTGCAGTGGTGTGATCATAATGCACTGCAGCCTGGAACTCCTGATGGCTCAAGCAATCCTCCCGCCTCAGCCTCCTGAGTACCTGGGACAACAGGCATGCCATCACACCCAGCTAATTGTTTTGTACTTTTGTAGAGGTGGGGTCTCACCATGTTACCCAGGCTGGCGTCCCCTGAGCTCAAGGAATCCTCCCACCTTGGCCTCCCAAAGTGTTGGGGTTATAGGCATGAGTGACCATGTTCAGCCTTTAATTATTTTTGTTTTATAAAGTGTTTTATTGTAGACCTAAGCTATATCCAGTTGAAACTCTGGGGACTAGGGCAAGCCATCAGGAGTGCTATTTGAGGATCATTAGGGCCTTGTGGGTTAGGTACATTTGAGGGCTGAATTATTCCATCCCCAGAGGATGAAAGGGAATAGATGCTCAAGAAAGCATCACTTGAGGTAGATGAACTTCGTTCTGTGATACTGGGTGATAGTTGGTATGGAGGAACACTTTACATATGCTAGAGAGTAGCATTACTCAAGTGTCCTCTTGACACTTAGCCAAAAGATTAGCCAAAGAGTCATAACCACTTGCAGAGGAGAAAAAAAAAAAAATCTCCCTTAATTTGAAGCAGAAGATTCAAAAATGATTCCTGAAGGGTGGGGCAAGTGCAGAAGAATGAAACTCCACACCATAGCAGTTCAGAGGCAGCACCATTAGAAAGAACACTCTTGAGATTTAGAAGCCAAAAATGACAAGAGCAAATGAGGAGGAGTTTGAGTGACCTAGGATACAAGGGGAAAGAAGATTCAGGGCCAGGTGTGGTGGCTCATGCCTGTAATCCCATCACTTTGGGAGGCCGAGGTGGGCGGATCACCCAAGGTCAGGAGTTTGAGACCATCCTGACCAACATGGAGAAACCCCGTCTCTACTAAAAATACAAAATTAGCCGGGCATGGTGGTGCATGCCTGTAATCCCAGCTACTCAGGAGGCTGAGGCAGGAGAATTGCTTGAACCTGGGAGGTGGGGGTTGCGGTGAGCCAAGATCGCGCCATTGCACTCCAGCCTGGGCAACAAGAGCGAAACTCCATCTCAAAAAACAAAACAAAACAAAAAGATTCAGAAGAGTTGTCATTCCAGGTCTTAATTACAATAGACAACCATTTGTAACAGATTCCAGCAACACAGTGTTTCCTAGAGTTAGTCACTCAAGCACTGCCTTCATGATTTTTTTTTTTTTTTTGCCATGTATACATATACAACCATTTATAGTATTTACTCAATATTTTACTCTAAATCAGATTCGCTTTCTTACTTAAATTGAAAACTAAAAATGGAAAGTCAGCATTATTTGCCATAAATGAAAGCAACCACCACAAAAGCAGAACAATATTATTAAATGCTAGCTAGAAAAGGTTGTGACAAGTCTCCAGGCTTAAGGTTGGTGGTTCTTTATTAAAAAGGGAATGGACAGTGTCCGAGAGGTGTTAAACAGTGGTACAAAAATGAGACTTTGTCCTTGTCAGAAGGGTTGAAAAAGCATTGTATAAAGCAGCTTTCTCACGGTGTGATTAAATGTTATTCAATGCCAAATCTGCATACTACTCAAATCATCTCCCATACTGTCAGTGGTGCTGACCTCACACTTTGGGCCAAACACTGCATTGAGAAACTTGAATTCCACCAGGTGTGGTGGCTCACATCTGTAATCCCAGCACTTTGGGAGGCCAAGGCAGGCAGATCACTTGAGGTCAGGAGTTCAAGACCAGCCTGGCCAACATGGTGAAACACCTGTCTCTACAAAAAATCCAAAAATTAGCTGGGCATGGTGGCATGTGCCTGTAATCCCAGCTACAGGGAGACTGAGGAAGGACAATCACTTGAATCCAAGAGGCAGAGGTTGCAGCGAGCCAAGATTGCGCCACTGTACTCCCGCCTGGGCAACAGAGCAAGACTCTGTCTCAAAAAATAAAAAGAAACTTGAATTAAAGAGAGGAACAGGCTAGGCACAGTGGCTCACTTCTGTGATCCCAGTGCTTTGAAAGGCCAAGTTTAGTGGGTCACTTATGGGCCAGGAGTTCTAGACCAGCCTGGGCAACTTAGCAAGTCTCCATCTCTACAAAAACTAAAGAAATTACCTGGCATGGTGGCACATGCCTGTAGTCCTAGCTCCTTGGAAGGCTGAGGTGGGAGGATGGCTTGAACCCAGGAGTTTGAGGTCACAGTGAGTTAGGATTGTGCCACTGCACTGTAGCCTAGGCAACAGAGGGAGACTATCTCTTAGAAAAAATACATATTTTTTTTAAAATATATTTTTAAAGAGAGTTAGAGGAATGGTGCTTCTTCTGCAGCAAAGAGAGGAAATACAAGAAAATCAGAACTGGCAAAAAAAAAAAATTTGGAAAGTCTCATGTCACATATGAATTCAGCCCATTTATATGACACTGTCATAGTGGGAATTTTGAAACTAGAGAGACTCAGAGGACCTGGTGTCTAGTTTTAATATTATCACCAATTAGTTGTAAACACCAGGCAAGTCTCTTCACTCTTGGTAGCTATTTCCTGATATGTTCAAGTCTATGATTTATTTACTAAGAAAATAGTGGGTGGAGAAGGATTTGAAGAGACTGAGAAGGATTGGCAGTCAATAGGAAAAAGTGATAGGAAGTCAAAAACAAAAATAAATGTTTTAGGTTGCTGAGCAACAATGAGGCCCTAGCTGGCATAGGCACAGTGTCACTAAAACACTCTGGAGGCATACATGGCTTGATGTGGTACAAAAAGATCTGTCCACACTTAGGACTTAATTAAGGAAGCAAGAAAGAATAAAAGTAAGAAATCAGTTTACCAAACATCGTTAAAAGTATGTGAACACATGAATTAATAAACTCATGCTTGATGCCAGGCTTAATACTAGTCTGGCAGAGATGGTGCCAATTAAAATGTTATTGTCGGTTAAAGTATACAAAGTGCTTATTGTATGTCATTGTTCTTGTTTTCTATTTTGATGAGAGTTTCCTGATTTTTACAATGCTATAGAGCAAACAGAACTGTAACTTGTATTTCATAATGTTTGTAGCTGATTTTGTGTACTTCAAGGAGTTTTAAAAAAAAACTTTTCTCCTGAAATGTTGTGGGGTAGCTTGTGCACCTTGTGCATACTCCTTCCTTATGACTTAACCAGCATGGATTATTATTATATCCTTTTCAGAAAATGGAGATAAACAGGTCGGGCGTGGTGGCTCACTCCTATAATCCCAGCGCTTTCCGGGTGTGGTCACGCACGCCTGTAGTCCCAACTACTCTGGAGGCTGAGGCACGAGAATTGCTTGAACCCAGGAGGCAGAAGTTATCATGAGCCGAGATCACACCACTACACTCCAGCCTGGGCCACAGGGTGAGACCCCACCTCCAAAAAAAAAAAAAAAAAGAGGGGAGAAGAAAGTGGCTGGTGAGGATTAAACAGGTTTTTTTTGTTTTGTTTTTTGTTTTTGAAACGGAGTCTTGCTGTGTCGCCCAGGCTGGAGTGCAGTGGCACAATCTCCGCTCACTGCAAGCTCCGCCTCCTGGGTTCACGCCATTCTCCTGCCTCAGCCTCCCAAATAGCTGGGACTACAGGCGCCCGCCACCACGCCCGGCTAGTTTTTTGTATTTTTAGTAGAGACGGGGTTTCACCGTGTTAGCCAGGATGGTCTCGATCTCCTGACCTCGTGATCTCCCCACCTCGGCTTCCCAAAGCGCTGGGATTACAGGCGTGAGCCACTGTGCCCGGCCTAAACAGGTATTTTTTAATGGCAGAAGGAATAGCAGAAGGTCAGTGAGATGAAGGTTCCTGAATTATGGTTCCTGCTCTTGGATTTTCATTCAATTTTTTACTCCCTTATTACCATCCTTCACCTTCCAATACCTTACCATTGCTTACGCTGTTCTTCCTTGTGACCAAATCTGAACAAAAAGAGGCTGAAGGTAACTGGTAAAGAAAGAAGACTAGTCCGGGGGATGGAATCCGAAATGGAAGCGCAGAGCGCCGGGGCAGAGGAGGGCTTTACCCAGGTCACCGGTAAGGGTGGCCGGAAACGACAGTCTGAACAGCTGTCCGCAGCGGGAGAGGGCGGGGATGCGGGCCGGATGGACACAGAGGAGGCCAGGCTGGCGAAGAGGCCCGTCTTCCCACCCCTCTGTGGGGACGGGCTCCTGAGTGGAAAAGAAGAAACAAGGAAAATTCCACTCCCAGCTAACAGATACACACCATTGAAAGAAAACTGGATGAAGATATTTACTCCTATTGTGGAACATTTGGGACTTCAGATACGCTTTAACTTGAAATCAAGGAATGTAGAAATCAGGACTTGTAAAGAAACGAAGGATGTTAGTGCTCTGACAAAAGCAGCTGATTTTGTGAAAGCTTTTATTCTAGGCTTTCAGGTGGAGGATGCACTTGCCCTCATCAGGTTGGATGACCTCTTCCTAGAGTCTTTTGAAATTACAGATGTTAAACCCCTAAAGGGAGACCATCTATCCAGGGCAATAGGAAGAATCGCTGGCAAAGGAGGAAAAACCAAATTCACCATAGAGAATGTGACATGGACGCGGATAGTTTTGGCTGATGTGAAAGTTCACATCCTTGGCTCCTTCCAAAACATCAAGATGGCAAGAACTGCCATTTGCAACCTAATCTTGGGAAATCCTCCTTCCAAGGTTTATGGCAATATTCGAGCTGTGGCTAGCAGATCAGCAGATCGATTCTGATTTCAAGTCAGAGACTTTTTATCTTGCCTTTGGACTCTGGAGAAAAATACTTTATGAGGGGTCGGTCACAAAAAACCATCTGAAGAATTTCAGTCATTTGAAGCCTCTGTACCTTCTTCCATTCTCAGCCAGAAGCATAAACAGAAAAGAAAGATTTAGGAGTATTCACACTCAACAGGTTTTAGAATAATTTAAATATCAAAAATTGATTCTATTATACTTACACCTTAGGTATAATTTATCATTTATCTGAAATTACATGTAGCAGATTACATAGTCTGTAATCCTCAGAGGGAAACTTCTTTAAACAAGAAGTTAAAACAGCTCTATATGAATAAGTTTAAACAGCTCTATATGAATTTATACTTTTATATTTATAAATTTATAACTTCATAAAAATTTATAAACATTTATTCTTTATAATTGTAATTTAATAGATTATCTCAGAAAAACCTCTCTGAATGATAACCCTTCCTTACTACTGGGTGATGTGTAAATATTTGTTGGGGGACAGGGTCTCACTTTGTCACCCAGGCTGGAGTGCAGTGGTGTGATCTCAGCTTACTGCAGCCTCTACTTCCTGGGTTCAAGTGATCCTCCTGCCTCAGCCTCCCTAGTAGGTGGGACTACAGGTGTCCACCACCATGCTTGGCTAATATTTTGTATTTTTTGTAGAGATGGGGTTTCACCATGTTGACCAGGCTGGTCTCGAACTCCTGACCTCAAATGATCCATCCACCTCGGCCTCCCAAAGTGCTGGGATTACAGGCATAAGCCACTGTGCCTGGCCTTGATGTGTGAATATTTGAGAGGTCATAAGCAGTGGTTTTGGCTATACTGTACTACACCATATACATCAGTAAGAGCTCATCTTGGAACCTGTTTTGCAGTTTTAAAAATTAAAGACCTACATCACAGGGTTGATGTGAAGAAAGTTTTATTTTTCAAATGAGTATTTAATGAAAGTATATATAACCAGTGTTGGGTGTACAGATGCTTCTCAACTTATGATGGGTTTATGTCCAGATAAGCCCATTGTGAGTTGAAAATACCAAACGTCGAACATCACAGCTTAGCCTACCTTAAAAGTGCTCCGAACACTACATTAGCCTACACTTGGGCAAAATCGTCTAATACAGAGCCTATTTTGTAATAAAGTATGTTGAATGTCTCACATAATTTTTGAAGATTACATTGAAAGTGAAAAACAGAATGGCTGGGTACTTGAGGTACAGCTTCTACTGAATGAATAATTCTAAAGTTGAAAAATAGAACCATCATAAGTCTGTTTCCTCTAGTAAAGGTGAGATAAATGTTTTTTCCCACCCAAAAAACTATACTCTATAAATTCAGATTAGCTAGTTTCTGTGTGTTTAAATAGTATGATTATACATTATAAACTGGAAGGAACTTTATTAAACGTGACTTTGATACTTCAAAAAAAAAAAAAAGAAAGAAAACTAGTGATGAAATTCAATGGCTTGAAGAGTCAAAGTGTTTTCTGGAAAAGGGGATATTAATGTTGTCATCAGCTATCTTCCTAAGCCATTCCTGGGGCCATACTAAGCCACTTCTAGGTAGTGATTTTGTAAATATATTACTCAATATAAAAGGTAATTTTTTCCTTTATTTTTTCTAAAACTACCCCTAAAGGCCTCATGACATGTTTGTTCTCTGGACTCAGTGGTCAGGATTGATGAATTTCATTTCTATCAAGGTTAAGGACATTAAAATCCAAGGACAAAAATATTTCTAGTCACTGAAAAACTCCGCAAGATGAATTTTTTTCTCCCTGTTTTATTTCATTCATACCTTTCATTCATTCATTCATACCTTTCATTCATTACATTATAATAGATGACATAAATGAGGCAAGCAGCCTCAAGAAATTAAAATTTGTAAAGTTTTAATACCTATATTGTAAATTTTATACTGAAGCTGTATTTATAAGTTTTTGACAAAGGTCCATATAGTTAAACTTCTTTGGATATCTGTTTAATGTGTTTTCATTCTAATCTTTATTTTCTTCCTTCTGCTTTTCTCTAATTTCATTTGTTCATCTTTTTCTAGGTTCTTAAAGTGAAAAGTTAGGTTATTGATTTGATACCTTCTTTATTAATAGGCATTTACAACTGTAAATTCCTTCTGAGTACTGTTTCTATTGCATCCCATAAGTTTACTATGTTCTGGTTTCATTTTTATTCATCTCAAAGTATATTCTTGTTTCACTTGTGATTTCTTTTTTGACCCATTGGCTGTTTAGGGGAATATTATCTAATTTCCACATATCTCTTAATTTCTCAAATTTCATTGTATCGTTGATTTCTAACTTCATTCTGTTGTGTGTGAACAGTGAACATACTTTGCATGACTTTCATCCTTTTACATTTACTGAAGTTTGTTTTATGTCCCAAAACATGGTCTATCCTGGAAAACATTCTGTGTATGGAATATGCAACAGAAGTATGCATATTCTGCTGTTGTGGGTGAAGTGTCCTATAGATGTCTGTTGGGTCTAGTTAGTTTATAGTGTTAATCAAGGCTTCTCTTTCCTTTCTGATCTCTGTCAAGTTGTTCTATTTATTATTGAAAGTGAGGCATTGAAATCTCCAACTATTTTGTTGAATTATCTATTTCTCTAATTCTGTCAGTCTTTGTTTTATATATTTGGAACTCTTTGGCAGGTGTATTATGTTTATAATTGCTATGTCTTCCTGACAGATCAAACTCTTTTATCATTACAAAAAAAAAAATTTTTTTTGAGATGGAGTTTTGTTCTTGTTGTCCAGGCTGGAGTGCAATGGCATGGTCTCAGCTCACTGCAACCTCCACTTCCCTGGTTCCAGTGATTCTCCTGCCTCAGCCTCCCAAGTAGCTGGAATTACAGGCGCCCACCACTATGCCCAGTTAATTTTTGTATTTTTAGTAGAAATGGGGTTTTACCATGTTGGTCAGGCTGGTCTCGGACTCCTGACCTCAGGTGACCCACCTGCCTCGGCCTCCCAAAGTGCTGGGATTACAGGCATGAGCCACGGAGCCTGTCCAGATATTAATATTAACTAAAAATATTCTAAGACAATAAGGGCATGCAGTTACATCATCATTAGGGCTCTGTTTAAATGATAAGAAAGGGCCGGGCAGCCGGGCGCGATGGTTCACGCCTGTAATCCCAACACTTTGGGAGGCCGAGGCAGGCGTATCACCTGAGGTCAGGAGTTCAAGACCAGCCTGACCAACATGGAGAAACCCTGTCTCTACCAAAAATACAAAATTAGCTGGGTGTAGTGGCACATGCCTGTAATCCCAGCTACTTGGGAGGCTGAGGCAGGAGAATCACTTGAGCCCGGGAGGCGGAGGTTGCAGTGAACTAAGATCACGCCATTGCACTCCAGCCTGGGCAACAACAGTGAAACTCCATCTCAAGAGAAGGGAAGGGAAGGGAAGGGAGAAGGAAAGGGAGAAGGAAAAGGAGAGGGAAAGGAAGGAAGGAAAAGAAGGAAGAGAAGGAAGGAAGGAAAGGAAGGAAGGAAAGAAAGGAAAGAAAAGGCCGGGCTCATGCCTGTAATCCCAGCACTTTGGGAAACGGGGCTATACTTTCCTGTTTCATTGCATGTTTCATACCTTTTTTTTTTTTCAATGACATTTTAGATAATATAATGTGGCAACTCTAGAAATCAGATGTTCCCTGCCTGACCAGGTTTTGTTATTGTGCCTCTTGCTTGTAATTGCTGTTGTTGCTGTTATTGTTTAGTGACTTTTGTGAATTAATTCTATAAATTCTGTTTTCTTTGGAGTGTGTGGTCATTGACATCTCTTCTCACTTGGCCTAGTAGTCAGCATATGATTGGTCAGAAATTTTCCTATATGCCTAGAATCAATCTATCTATCTATTGATCGATTGATTGATCTATTGATCTGTAGATATATGTGTGTATATATATATCTAAAAATACACATATACGCACACAGATAGATGGATAGATATATACGTAGATATGTATGTTAGACATATTTTTAAATAAGTATTAAAATAACTATTTGTATTGTATGTATCAAATTTTCACTAAAGGAAGTCTTAGTTCTATCAGAAATATCTTATTTTCAGGCCAGGCATGTTGACTCCCACCTGTAATTCCAGCACTTTTGGAGAACTCATGAGTTTGAGACCAACATGGTCAACATGGCAAAAACCCAACTCTACTAAAAATACAAAAAAATTAGCCGAGTGTGGTGGTGCGTGCCTGTAGTCCCAGCTACTCAGGAGGCTGAGGTGGGAGGATGGTTGAGCCTAGGAGGTGGAGATTGCAGTGAACAGGGATTGCACCATTGCACCGTAGCCTGGGTAACAGAGCCAGACCTTGTCTCAAAAAAAGAAAAAAAAAGAAATCTTATTTTCAAAGACTAAGATAAAATTTATTATTAATTACTAACTACATTTCTGTTCATGTGTAAATGAAGAACTATAATGAATAGTTTTGCTTAATCCTCTTTTTTCTACTTTGTTTTGCCAATAATTTTTTCTCAATAAATTTATTAGCCCAACTCATCTTGAAATGAGTATTTTCAGAGGAAGAAATTCTAATGTGGTGAAACCCAAATATAAATTGCAATATTTACTTACCAAAAAAGGATAAATATATTTAATTTTCTGAAGTAGGAGAAGAGATTGTTAAAAGGAGTTTTGAAAAAAATTAAGAGTATATGTTTGAACTTCATGCTGAAGTAAAATTCCTGTGAAAGTTTCAAGGAAACTGAAGGGTTAAACACTATAAAATGCTAAGTGGTTCTGTTCTTACCCTAGGGCTATCTTTATATATTCATGATAAAATTAAGTTTGGTCATTTTCTAGTTAATTTGATCAGTATCTATTGTTGGTTCGAATAATCTAAGGCTTAAAATTAATTTTTTCATTGTCGTTGGATTATCTAGATCAACTATTTTGCATTGCTGAACTTAACTAGATAAATGCCAAATCTGTAATTCACATTCTATTAACTCCACTACAAGTTATTTATTGTAAGTGTTCCAAAGCTCTGTAAGAGATAGATCAGATCGGCCGGGGCGCCGGTGGCCTCAAGCCTGTAATCCCAGCCACTTTTGGGAGTGGACCTAGACGGGCGGATCACGAAGGCAGGAAATCTACGGACCATCCTGACTAACAACGGTGAAACCCCGTTCTCTACTAAAACAATACAAAAACTAGCCGGGCGAGGTGGCGTGGTGCCTGTAGTCCCAGCTACTTGGGGAGGCTGATGGCAGGAGAAGGCGTAACCCGGAAGGCAGAGCTTGCAGTGAGCTGAGACCTGGCCACTTGCCACTCCAAGGCTCTGGTGCGACAAAGCGGATGACTCCGTCTCGGGGGAAAAAAAAAGGAGAAGAAAAAAAAGAAATGGATCAGATCTCTGTTAAGTAACATTATTTATCTCTATTTAATATAATGCCTATTAGAATATTG